GCCAGGCCAGCATTGCGAGGTCGGGACGTTAATCCGTGCAAATATTTAGTCCCGCTAACTGTATCTGGTGCAAATACACTGAGCGTCATTAATGCCGTCAATTTCAACGACAAAGCCGTAGATCCAACCGTTCGCGAGATACAGCCCGCCGACGGTGAAATTTTGCGTATTTTCAGAATCCAAGACCGGATATTCCCTGTACGTGGCCCTATGGCAATTCTATCTGTGCCAGCCTCCTCTATGGACCATTCTGGGTCTCTGCATTAAAAGAGATCTTTAAAAATTTCAACGACAAAGCCGTAGATCCAACCGTTTGCGAGATACAGCCCGCCGACATTGAAATTTTGCGTATTTTCAGAATCCAAGACCGGATATTCCCTGTACGTGGCCCTATGGCAATTCTATCTGTGCCAGCCTCCTCTATGGACCATTCTGGGTCTCTGCATTAAAAGAGATCTTTAAAAATTTCATCGAGAAAGCCGTAGATCCAACCGTTTGCGAGATACAGCACGCCGAAGGTGAAATTTCTAAGACCGGATATTGCTTGTACGTGGCCCTATGGCAATTATATCTGTGCCAGCCTCCTCTGTGAACCATTCTGAGTTTCTGCGTTAAGAGATAAGCAAGTCTAGCCGCCGAGATTGAAGAAAAAAAGAGATTTCGTAGGAAAACCCGGTATGGTACCGGCAAGTCTACATAGAAAAGAAGGTAGAAAGGAACACAATAGAGAGGGAATAAGCACCCACTCCAACAACCTGAGGAAAAGAATCGAATGTTAGGCGTATGAATTGTATGTTGTGTATTGCGCTGAGTATTTTATATGAATGTTAAATAATAAGACGAATTTATGGTGACCATAATAATCGGTAAAAAGACAGGTAAGGGCAGTTATGAGCGCGTACAACTAAAATAGATGCATGCAGTGCACTGCGCTTAGTATTTGTTGAAACTTAGAATCTCAGTTTTTTGTCTCAATTTTTCGAAAATTCGGATTTTACCGACGTTACGTAGCAATACTATCGTTACAACTTATCAGGAACTACAAAACTCCTCAAGGACTATTCGAAGAATGAGAATGTTTATGAAACTTGCGCAACTCTTATCTGATTAATTCTTCCAATGATAAGGAAATTAAAGGATCAAATCCTGTCGATGCATGGTTAATTGA